TCTTTCGCAGAGAAGTCATTTCAGATATCTGCTCAAAACCAGATAAATTTGAAGTATCACAAAGTCCAAACCATGCCAAATACAAAGTCTTTTACACATGCACACGACGCATGCAAGTTGGAAACATCAGATAGGAGGCACACAGGCGTGAATGCACATGATGGCATCACACAACAGTGCATTGTACCTAGGAACACAAAAAACTCACCGAGGCAATGCGCTCCATGCAAGGAATATCAAAAGCCCCTAGGCGCATAGGAAGAGATATCAGGTCTACGGTGGCACCCCAAACGTCCACTCTGCATGCCCAAGTCCCCAACACCAAGAGCCGTTGAAAGGTCTCTCTCAATCGTGCATCCCACTATGCAAAATTGGCATGCGTTGCTGGTATTGGAGGGACCGTCCTTGTCAGGTATTGCGTTCGTGTGCCGACGCATGTCGAAAGTAGGCGGGCCATTCTCAGAAGCCATAGCAGCAACCATCCCATTCTCACTAGACGCTTAGGGGGGCTTCTCTTTCCAAAAGCATCAAAGCCCACAAGCACCCATGTGAGGATGAGTTCTTCGCGAGCAACCTCAACCCCCAAACTCGTGAGAGCCTCCATATCCCTGGAAATGACAGATTTTATGTGGTAGATCAGACACTTGTGCGGCTGGACCGCAAGGCCCGGCTCATGCAAGTGTCTTGCGAACTCTAATAAGTTATGTAGCACTCTAGATGGAGGACCCAGCATCTAGGTGTCATCTGCGTTTGACCAAAGCTGGACATTGCCCTCGTGTAGTACTAGCTCAAGAGCCATGCACTGTAGGAGTGCATGCAGCAAAGGGCTGAGCGGATTGCCCTGGCAGGTGCCGCGCTTCGAATGCATCGTGGTCACTCCCCTACCCGCCCGGTATTGGAGGTCGGAAGGTGTCCCGTAGAAAATGCAGATAAAAGGAATGAGACAGCAAAATTAAGGGCTAGCGTGGAAAGCCTGAACCATAGCATCTCGGTGAAACGAGTTAAAGGCGTTCGCCACGTCCAGATGAAGGACCACCCAGTCAGGTTGGTCAGCTAGAGCGTGACAAGCACCTCTAACAGCTACCTTTGACCCGCAGGCCCAAGTCCCACTCCAAACTGTTGTGACGTTGGAAAACCCCCGCCATTTGGTCCCAAACTGGCCTATTTTATCAGTGTTTTTTATCCTATGATGTCTCCAGGGAAACACTAATGTCTCTAGGTTTATTTTTAATTGGGTTTACCCTCACATATGAGGGTTGCAAGACTGATGTGCCATGGTTTAATTTTAAGTATGTAGATCAAATATATACAGGGGATATATTTCTTGACAAATTCTCCTCCCCCCCCCCCCCCCCCCCCTCCCCCCCCCCCCCCCTCTCCCCTCCCCATAAGCACACCGCGCATGTTTTCATCCTTGTGTACTGGCCTTGCTGGCGGCAGTGTGATTGGTGATTGGTTGATCAGCCATCAGCCATCACCACATTTTTCCCTCAATAAACCCATTTAGTGCCGCCATATTCTCTGCCACAAGTTCAAATCCCCACCAACGCGCTGTTCTCTGTGCCATCCCACCATCACCGTGCTCTATTGCTTAGTTGCAGGTGGGGGTTTGAGTTTGTGCTGCATGCAGTTTGAATATGGAATAACATTTGCACTCCAAAATCAAACACATACAAACCATCAATGTTACAACTAAACAATATTTAATGCTCAGGGTTTAATATTCAAAAGTAGCATTTGGGACCAACCTTGAAAAATCAGGGTTCAGAAAAGAAACAACCCTGAAATCAGAGTAGTGAAATTTGACAAACTAGACTTGGTCCCGCAGCTGCATGCAGACTCGCGAAAGGATGAGAACCATGACCCCATCAATGGCTATAGGACGCACATCCCCGTTCGGATTCGCTAGAGCAATAGGGGTGGACAATGCTATCGTAAGCCTCCGGATATAAGCACATGCCTTTGATAAGCGCCGTCGCTTATAAAAAGCATATGGCGTTGATATTCGATCCTCGATTTTATACGCACCCCTAACGGCTTACAGATTATAAGCGCCGCCGCCTCCAGTTGAGTTTTTTTCTAATTTTACTGAAATCTTTGTAACGAAGCACACTTTGCATCCCCACGTTTGGAATATTGATACAGTACGTACCCTTCACCCCAGCTCGGCTCATTGCCAGCGTGTCCAGTCAGAGTGAGGTCGCGGTCCTGGGATGTCCTGGACACACATCCGGCCTCCAGCTCAGCGTAAGGTGTGGGAAACATGTGCACTTCGAGTGTGTAGCTGATTGCGTGTACAACAAAAATAGGTCTAAAACCTCTGGATTTTAGACCCTTCACGAATGATGTTTCGACAAGTACTCGAGCAGATATTAGCAAACTCATGTCAGTGGAGGACATTCCAGGAACACGTGCTGATGATGACGTGTGTGTCCAGACTTCGGGTATCCTGGGCACCCCAGGACCACGATCTGAGCTGTCATAAGCACTAGTTGATTCATTCTGACTCACAGCCCAGTATAGTTTCGCCTCGATTCAAATCGCAGGAACAAGATGTATAGTTTGGTGTAAAAATAGCCCATTTCATACACATAATTACATAAATGCATGAGCTGATAAAATCCTCGATTATAAGCCCAATCCAGGCCCCACGTTTCCAGAGTAAATTACTCAGTTTCTCTGAAAATCAGTATCATTTTTTAAAGGAACTCCGTACCTGCTGGGTTTTGAATTTGGAAGTTGAGTTTTTTTCTGATCTATCAGAGTTTTTGTGTAGGCTACTCTGAGGCCTCTGGGTTTTTTTTCTAAGGATCGAGTTTACTCTGTATAGAGGATACATGCCCCCTAGCCCCCCCCCCCCCCCCCCCCCCCGCAAAATTACCAGTTTTTCCCCGAATCGCCGAGATCACACTGCTGATTTCGGTCGTGTGTTGGCGGCAATATGAGTGCTGATTGACTAGTTTCTCAACTTACTCAGCCAGCACACAATGTTAGCCACTTCCCTCTCAGTCAGTTTTTCAGTGCCAACACCTCAAAACATCACTCGGAATTGAGGGATGCTACAGCGCACTAAGGGAGGAAACGTGGGCGACAAGGTTCACGAGCGTTGGTGCTCGGCTGGCTCACGGAGGGCGTACCCAAGTTTCTCCTCTCATTTCACCCATCCTACATCAAGTTCCTTGCCTTCCCAGCTCCCCTCCCAGCCACGCCTCTCCCCGCCTTGTGCCTGAGAGGGATAACAACGACGCTAATAACGTCGCCTGAATCCTGATCCCAATCTCGGCCCGTCATGCAGCTCATGCCCCATGACAGGTCTTCAATTTCAGCGCGGGTTACATCGTTCCCACGCGCTCGAAGGCGAGCAACATGTAAAAATACTAGATTAAGTTAAGACTAGGGTTTGGGGTAGGAGGAGACTTGAGAGAGGAACATGTCGAGAGAGTTTAGCCAAAGAGGTTCAATAATGAGAAATGGTACAAAGTTATAGGCAAGAAACAAGTGGTGCACCACCAACAGTTCATAATAGCTACACTAAACCACAGCTACAGGCAGTTGCAGATATATTCCAACACAACATTCCAGTTGGGGCGATGAATGGGATAATCCGCCACGTCCGGATGATGGGGAGCACTCCGACGGGGTCAAGGTGTGGGTTCGTTTCCCACGCCGGGAAGACAATGATGTACACGACGTGAACAAGGAGTGCGCTGCTTTGCCCCGCCCTGGCATTGCTGAACCGGCCGCGACCGTACCGACTGAAGTTACTGACGCACCAACGCCTGAGTCCACCGTCTCACAGACGCAGAAGAAGCAGCGGTTCACGCAGTATGTGCGTCGTTGACATCTGGCGCAAGCAGAAGAAGCTTCGCCCCGCCAAGAAACCAGTGGACGCCCCCCCACCACTTAGCGCAAAGGGGAAGGATAAGGTCGAGTCTGATTCGGAGGGCGAGCATGAGTAGAAGTGTAGTGTAGAGAGCTGTAGTTAAGTTAGGTGGTGTATTCAAATATGGGGCTGATATAATTAGTACAATCTAAATCTAGCCCCCCACCCATACAAAAATGAAATACAAGCACTGCAAGTACAAAACGCGTAACACCAATCTCCAACACGAAAACCTATTAAGGTCCAACACCAAACTTAACTAACATCAGAGTAGAGAAAATTATTACCCTAACATGCCTGGGTTTATTTTTGAAAGCATAGGGTTACTCTGACAAATCAGAGTAAGAAGGCGCAGGAACAACCCTAGATTTCAGAGTTGGGAAAAAAACTACTCTGGAAATCAGAGTACCTACGGTAAAATCCAAAAGTAGGCCCTGTCCCAATCCCTAAAAAAACGTGTTTTTATATAAACCCAAGGGCGGGTATATCCGGGGGCTGACGGTAATAGCGATCTTGTTGTTGGGGTATAGTAACCTCGCAATGCTGGTAAACCGCTCGAAGACCATATACCACGTTGAAAGTACTAGGAGAGGTACTTCTTCACAACCCCAACAAGTACCGGTAGTATAAAGCATCAATATGTAACCATTGAAACATATATACACTCCAACAAAAACAATCACCATACCGGTATTTCATTTCAAGTCTTCTCAAATGCTACAGTTTCCTGTTCGAGCCTTTTTCATATTCGGTGTGCAGATTCTAACCCCAGGTTTCAACTTAACACACTCATACCCATTCATTCTCCGGTAACAACCTTTGATACTGTAGAAATACTTCATTTCAATGTATTTGCAGTCATCCCCAGGTGAGATGGTGTAGGTGCTGGTCCTCGAACAAATACCCGCCGTGAAGTTGGTGACACTGCCAATGCACACCTGCAGCCATAGGGAAGAGAATGCGGATGTTGGTGGTACGAGTGAGGCTGGTGGCGGACATAAGAGAACGCGAGGGCGTAATGCATTGCATTTGCAGCATAAAATGCAAAGCAAGGCACCAAATGTGTTCAATACATTGCAAACACCACACTGCAAGCACCAAGGCGCTCTCCCCCCACCTCAGCACCAAATGTGGTGGTGGAGCCAGAGTATTTCTTGAGGGGGATGAGCTGGTTGCAGTTGACGCCGGGGTTGAGGCGGTAGAAGTCCACGGGGCTGAGAGGAGGCTCCGCCAGCTGCCTGATGCTGTCGCACGTGTCGTTGAGGTGCGCCCGGTAGTACTGGTCGCACACCACTGTCACATTCGCCACCCCGGGGTCCCTCTCGATGCACACCGCCTGGGAGGGCCTCAGGGAGGAGCAGTCCACAGCGGGGTTGAGCGCCTGAAATGCCGCCTCACACTCCGCATCCGACGCCGCCGCCCCACACAGCTCCACCTGCCTCCCTACCCCCGTGCACGTGTCGCCCTGGGGATACGGTGGGACAAGGGGAGACAAGGGGGAGGAAAGGAGGAGAGGGGAGTGGCAGGAGGGTGTTGTTTGGGCCAGTAGAAAGACAATGGGAGGAGACTCGAACATAATGGTGCAGTGAGATATTGATGCATAGGCGCTATGGACTCACCAGCACAGTGGTGTAGAAGACAGAGCATGCATCGACTGTGGAGTTGACCAGGAGGCTTGAGCTGATGCGCAGAGGAGCGGAGCATGAGATGCCCTGCGACACAAGCAGGGGATGATGGCACATGCATGGGATGATGGCACATGCATGGGATGATGGCACATGCATGGGATGATGGCACATGCATGGGATGGTGCCACATGCATGGGATGGTGGCACATGCATGGGATGATGGCACATGCATGGGATGGTGGCACATGCATGGGATGATGGCACATGCATGGGATGGTAGCACATGCATGGGATGGTGGCACATGGCACATGCATGGGATGGTAGCACATGCATGGGATGGTGGCACATGCATGGGATGATGGCACATGCATGGGATGGTGGCACATGCATGGGATGGTGGTACGTGCATGGGATGGTGGAACATGCATGGGATGATGGCACATAATAAACGAATGTCATGAGCTCACACATCCTGACATGGCACTCTCAAACTCAAGCATCTGCAGCGGGGAGGGGGTACCTTGTTCTGCTGCAGGAACTGGTCCAGTGTGAGGGCAAATATGGGATGCACATGGGAGCACCACACGTTGCTCTGCCGCACCGTGTACACCCCCCCTGCATCCCCTGCAGCACGAACACACATTGAAACATAAAAAAATGAGACTACTGCGCAGCAAGGGAAGAACTCATGACTTTTCGTCAGTGGAGGGGAGACCACAGAGTGGAGATCACTGCATGCCTCCACCACATGCTAGTGCCACTCCATTTAATGACACAGCCTCATTGGCAAAATTAGGATGTTGGATAATTATTTACGATTTTGTCTTAGAACATCCATCAACTTTAGTTGCACTGGACCTCCAATCCTTGTGAATCCCATCATGAACTCAAGACGTACAAGTTAGAAAAGAGTTTAAAAAAGAGACTGTGATCTCAAGAATCAAAGGTGAAACCAAGAAGTACAGAGAAAACCACACAAAGCAATCGACTCAGTCAGTGTTACACAGTGCATCAGCATGCATGGTTTCAAACGGATTGCAGGTTGTATGAAGGTCATCCATTTAAAAAAAATAGGTCATAAAGAGGAAGTAGCGGCAGAGGGGTGTTACCCGGAGCACAGGAGGCGGTGTTGGCAAGGGTGGTGCCCTGGATGAACCCCGGGGGACACACACAGGAGTAGCTGCCCTTGTCATCGTTCACACACGTGCCCACCACACACGGGTTGCGAGTGCTGGACCCACACACGTCCACTGAGGGCGAGAGAAGAAGAATGGGGCCGGCGAGGAAGCATACATGAGCATGGACGGATGGCATGGGGGTGTGTAGGGGGAGCGTATGCTGTGGGCGTGGGAGGAGTTGAGTGAGCAAGCATCAAAGAATAAAAGCGAGCATGGGTATTGGCCAGGAGCAGGTTGAAGGCAAGCAAGCGGGGATGTGCTTTTTAGAATAGAAGAGCCCAACAACAACATGCTGCACTGAATACCCTCTCAACTGCAACTTCACTCCATGCACTAGTCCAAAACTTCCGGAATCACTCAGTGCACATGTACGCTTCACCAGTGACCCTCTGTGGTGCATGTTACCATAGGCACAGGTGTACGATCCATCGGTGTTCTTGACTTGAGCAAAGCGGGCGTCAGTGCACTTGCAGCGATTGCTGGTGCCCTTCTTGCTGCAGCTGAACCGCCCACACGGGTTGAAGGCGGGGCCTTGAATGCTGTACTGGAAGGAGCGTGACCCACACGGATCAGCACTGCCTGCTCCACACATCCGGTGGGAATGGGGTGTGGGCAGATGTTACAGGCACAAGGTATGTTCACCAGCTGTCAGAGCAGGGATGCAAAAAACAACAGGTAGAGTAGTCGGCCTCACTTCTGACGACAGGGAAGAGGCCCGGGAGAGTGTTGATGCCGCAGATGCCATCGCCACTGCGAATGTCCATGCGCATGTGGCCCTGGTCGCCCCACCCTGTGCCCCATGAGTTGCGGATGATCCAGAAGGGCGGCGGCACGGAGGTGGAGGGGTCGGAGCCCGCAGAGAGGTAGCCCACCACCAGCACCACGTGGTTCAGGTGGTTGCTGAAACACTCCTCGTCCGCGTACTTGCCTCTCTGCCCACACACACACGGTCACCAGTACATATGGAGAGAGGTGGCACAACATAGGGCAGCGTGAAATAGCATGGGCAAGTAGATGGAAACATCATTCAACTTACACTGTAATGAGTTTGGCTCGTTTCAGCAGCAGCTGTCGTTGTAGTCAATAGGTTTGTAGGTATATTTAAGTTGGAGTTTATTTACTAACCAGGAGTGCATGCATTCAAGCTAGTAATATGTGGGGCATAATGGCAATCCGCTGTAGAATTGCCCTATGATGGTGCGTGCTGCCAAAGAGTAACCCTGGTGGAATGAGAAAAAAAGGGCTGCACACCACAGCCCGAGCCTGCTCTTTCTCGACGCAAAATGTAATCGGTTCGAGTCGATTTGTTAAGCATAGAAACAAAAGGCATCGAAGTGGACTTGCCAGCACAATATTCCGCTTGAACTAATCACCTGCTACGTGGGACACCACGAATCTCCATGAGCTTAACAACCCTCTCACTCCGTTGCAGAGTGGTGATCGCAAGCCACCGTCTTCTTTCTCAAACATTGTCATGTCTGTTAAACACGAAATTCCTCCACTAATATCTAGACGCACCTATGCTCCTTTTAAGGATTCAAGGATCCTAGCCCCTTCAAAGAAACTGATAGCTGTGGAAATGCTCGAGGAAGGTGAGAAAAGGTATAAATAAACGACGGAGAAATTTCGAGCTCCAACTCCCAGAAATAGGCCTATATTGAACTGCTTCAAGGGGAACAGGTTCGCCTCAAAATGAACCAAAGGCAGTACTGTGGTCATGTGAACATACAACCTACGATTGTATGCCAAAGCAACATGGTGCTTGCCAGTAGGACAAAACCGCGGCTAGAGCAATGTTACTGGAGACTAAAAATGAGCAAAGTTCATGCACAATACCAAAGTTTGGCGATCTGAGTTGCGAGGCCGTGTCCAACCGTCTTGATCTCCATTTTGGTGTCAACCGACTCCACGAACACGGCGCCGCTATCATTGATCAGCAGGACATTGGCTTGCGGGCAGCCTGCCACGTCAGGGAACATGTCGCTCGCGACCGTGACGCCGTCATGGTGCCAGCTTGCAGCGATGGGACCGAGAGCCGCCTCAATGCGCTGGCGACAGCCCGTCAACCCCATTTGAGTCACCCCTTGGTTCATTATACTTGCGCACCAAGTATGTCCCAATCGGTAGTTCCTCACCATATGCTGCCATGTACGCTGTTGTTCCAGCCTAGCCCGCATGTGCAGCATGAGACCTCACTTTCTGAGTGAGCAAGGTTGGCTAGCCTTGCCCTCACTTTGAGGTGTTGCGACTAGCCTCAAGAGTTCAGCTATACATATATGGCTTCACCACTTCCCTAGAAATCATCCTCGGACAAGGACATTGCTCTAGTCTCTAAAACTTGTACCATCTTCATGTTAAGCACGTATGGTTTTTTCCATTGTGCCTTAAAGCTCACCAATTCATTTTCTATTGCCTGCACAACACACCCACGTCCCAGCATAATGCGTGAGCACTGGTTGAACCTAGTCGGGTCAACCATAGAACTGGAGTAGGACCATGCATTAAGATATCGTGGTTCGGCCAGGTGTACCCAGGCTGTTTAAATTCGAGTTGAACCATAACTCCCTGCTATCAATTGGTCGAAACGGGGGCTATTCAGAGGTGCAGCGGTAGCCTTTAAGCCCTTCATGTAAGACTGCAAGCGTTACACCCGCACCCAACCCTCTTCCTTCCCCCCTTGCCAATGTCCTTGTTGGTTGAGGGAGTCAGCCCCTGCAGAAGGGACCTCGATTTCGCTGAGGAGGCAGCCAGTCTGCTCGTGAAGTATTATTCGCTAGGTTTGAGTCTAGGTTACCACATGTGCCTTCTCGGAATTTGAACCTTAGACTCTGATACCAGTATAACGGTCCCAACCGCACATCACCACACTGCATCTACATAACCCAACCTCCACGCCACTTGTCAGAGCTCGGCGAATCATCCACAGCAACATTGATATACTCGAAGAGCAATATCAGCTCCAGCAAAGCCTAGATCTAGTAAAAATGAGCACATAACGGTCCCAACCGCACATCACCACACTGCATCTACATAACCCAACCTCCATGCCACTTGTCAGAGCTCGGCGAATTATCCACAGCAACATTGATATACTCGAAGAGCAATATCAGCTCCAGCAAAGCCTAGATCTAGTAAAACTTAGCACCAGGTTTTTGCAAGATTTGTCGCGAGGTCCCTGCGAGATTTGTCGCGTGGACAGGACGTGCGAGGTTCATGTCAGAATGTGACTCGAGGCGAATGAGCCAGGTTCGAAGTTTGGCAAACCCGCCTAAAGTTGAAACTTGCTGGTTTCCTGTACCCAGCGGAATTCGGCCTGATCCAGACCGGCCCGCTTGAAATGAAGGTCTAGCCCGGAAAAAAACAAGATGTTCGCTCGTCTGCTCATGCCTACCACACCAGCATAGCATGCCACACAACGCGGCCCGCCAACACAACGTGTCAGCACAGCACAGTGTGCCTTACCCCATCGTAGTCTTGGAAGGAGGGTGCCTTACCCCTTCCCTCCGCTACGTATCGGAGTCTTTAGCGCTGCGCTCCGCGCGAAATGGCGACTTCAACATCCACCCTCGTCAGAAATCTCATCGTTCTCAATCTCGCTCCCAACGGCACGAGCACCAACTTTGGAGAATAGTGCTATGGAGTGGAGAAGCAGCTCCTTAGCACGGAACTAAAGGGGATTTGCCTCAAGGACATCCTCCTCAACCGCGGCAAGGGAAAAATGCCTCTCCCTCCCAATCCTCTTGGCGAAGAAGCCACTACTGCAGAGAAGAACGCATTTGAAGCTAGCACTACCAAGTATGAGACCGACTTCAGTGTATGGGAGCAGGCGGATGCGGCAGTTATTAGGGTTTTCATCACCACCACTACGGTTGAACCTAAGTTGGTCATTTACGCCATTTCAGCCCATGTACACGTAACGTACGCGTACATGTACGTTTACGTACGCCGGGCAGGTCAGAAAAAAAAGTTCGCGTTGAAATTTCTTCAAAAACGGTTTTTGAAAAAACTTAAAAAAAAAAAAAAAAAAAATCGAGGACCTGTGCTCTGTTAGCGTGTTAGCAAAACGGCGCGACGTTTTTCAAAGTAGTAATGTAAGAAACAGGAAGGTTGCTAGCTAGGGTTGCTATGGTGTGGCGACTACCCTACGTACTATGTCGACTAAGGCGGTAGAACCACGATAGCTAAGTCTGTCGAGAGAAGGAGGGAGGAAATTGTGGTGGGAGTAGATCCGAATGTGTGCAAACTGTTCGCGATAGAACATTGCGAACAGTTTGACTCAGATCGCGATTGCTTCGTTTGCAAGGTAAGCGAATCTCACCCGCTCGGCAGTTTCGTCACCGCCGAGCTTCACTGGTTTCGGCGAATTCCAACTTCGAGTCAAACCAATTCGTTGAGTCAAATCTAAATGTACACTACATGATGGAATGTTTACACTATATGATGGAAATCATGATTACGAGGGAGAACTATAGAGAAAATATACATGTTCGGGCAGCCCAGAAATTTTTTCGCCTGCCCGTACATTAGGCCTCCAACCCAACAGCCGCGTAAACGTACGTACCCGTACACGTACGTACGTAAACGTAAACGTAAATGACCAACTAAGGGTTGAACTTGTCAAGTCCTACCGCAATTTCCGCTCCGCGCATGACATTTGAAAGTACCTCCAGGACCGTTTCCATGGCAAGACCGCAGTAAGTGTTGCCATCCTCATCCCCCGCAAGTTCCAGGTCCGCCTCGAGGAATGCCCGGGCATGGCGGACTACATCTTTGAAATCGACAACATCCATGAGGAACTCAGGGACATTGGGATCACTTTCCCCAAACAGGCCACTGCAGCTAGGCTACTTGTAGGACTCACCCCGGCGTACAACGTTGCCAGTTCCATGCTCAAGTAGCTCCCCACCAAGGAACTCACTTTCGAGAAATTCGCATCGGCCCTCCTCTCTGCTGAAAAGGCCTTGCGGCACAAGCATCCGTCAATGCTGTGCGCTACACCCCTGGTATCCCATTCAACTCCCAGCAGGGACCAAGGCGCAACTCGTTTCCCCCATGCCCCTACATCATTAGGAAGGGTCCACGTGCAGGGCAGAAATGTGGAGGCACCAACCACCCTGAGGCAACTTGCTTCAAGAAGCGAGATGACGAGTGGTATGACGTCCACGGTGTCTCAACCCGTCCTCCCAACTGGGCCCCACCCCGTCGCGTGAATCAAGTCGAGGCAGTGGAGGAACCTGCTCAGGCACTTGCTAGCGGCCCATCTGATGTTCGCCTCAATCTGTTGTTCTCTGGTGCTGGGATTATTGATGAGAAGGGGTCGTAGTACATCGGTGTTTCAAACACACAGGGGATCGAGTTCATACTAGACAGTGGTGCCACCCACACAGTGCTCAAAGACCAAACCGCATTCGTTCCCTACCAGGCTCCCACCCCACTCCTTGGAGCAGATTCTAGATTCTCCATCCAATGTCATGGGTCCTCCACAGTTCCTTGTCCAGCATTCCCATCCGGCACAGTCACTAGCATCTGTGCCCCAACCCTCCACTACAACCTCCTTGCATAGCGTGAAATCCAACATGCAGGAGTGATCACCATCTTTCCCAATGATGTCGACTACTGTGACCTCTTTGACGCCAAAACCGGCATTCATCTAGCCCGTTTCACCCTCAACTCCACCAATCTCTACACGCTCGTTGTACCTCCCGTTCAGACATGCTCACTCACCTACCTTCCGCTCCCTTCCTCAGACTTCTCCACCTGTCATTGCCGTCTCATTTCCGACAAAACCATGCTCTTTCATCACCGCCTCGGCCACATCAACTTCCGCGCGCTTTCGGACCTTGCCACAAAACAGCTTCTCCATGGACTTCTAGCCTCACTTCTCTCTCCTACCTCCAACCTAGGGCCGCCTTGCCTTGACTGTGCACAGAGC